TATTATTATTCCCATTTTACAGATTAGAAAACATGTGCTTAGAGGGATTTAATAAATACCTTTCCAAGTCTGTGGCTGATAAGAGCTAGGATTTGAGCCAAATGTCATGCTTTTCATTTGCTGCTCCAGGTAGATACAAGAAAGAGAAATGTCTTCTTTCTTGTCTTTACCATTAGTGACAAAGCAAAAGCACAAAGCATTTGTGGCAGCTAGCCCTCAAGATGACTCCCAGTTGTTCTTTGCTTTATAGCATTCATACCCTTCTGCAGCTTTTCCCCTCGTTCAATGGGGCTAACCTATGTACCAATAGAATATTGCTGAAATGACGGTGAGCTTAGTCTTATAAGATACTGTGGCTTCCACCTTGCACTTTCTCAGGTTGTTCACTTTGGGGGAAGCTAGCCACCATGTTGTCAGGACACTCAAGCACCCTTTTAGAAGCCCACATGGGGAGAAGCTGAGACCTCCTGCAATGACCAAATAAACAAAGGAGCCATCTTGGAAGCAGATCCTCTATTCCTACCAGGTTGAAGACTGCAGCCTTCAACATCTTGACTGAAACCTCATGAGAGACCCTGAGCCAGAACCACTCAGATAAACTGCTTCTGAATTCCTGACCCATAGAAACTATGAGATAATAAATGTTTATTATTTTAAACCGCTGAGTTTTAGGGTAACTTGTTATGCATCAGTAGATAAATGGAGAATTCATGAACTTCTCACACTCTGCTGAATTGCAAAGCCTTGCCAATACCAGTGGATCAGAGAAATCCTTCTAAGAAACGTTCAAATTTGTGTGCCTGGAAGTAGGAGTCTGAAATAGCCATTCAAGAGCCCTCCTGGTAGGAAGCCTTGTGAGTTTAGAAGCAGAATATGGGTCAGATTACCAACAGTTGCCTAAATTTCCCATTTTCACATTAAGATGACTAAGTACAATTTGAAAGCTGTTCAAAATCTGATCCATTGTTCAGCAACCAACTGCTGTGAGAATTGAGAAAAAAAATGAATTGACTATACTTTGGGGTATTGGGCAATTTTGTCTATAGCTGATCAGCATCTTTGGGATCAAACAGCCATTAATGGAACATCTCCAGCAATTTGCAGTACATCAACCAAAACCTTTCAAGCACCATGGTTTATACTGCATGTCAAAATGAACTGCTACTGTGAAGTCTAAAACCTCTGCAGTTTTTGATTGTTGGATCTTACCTGGCCCAGCAGGTGTCTTTCTTCTAAAGCCCATGACTCACCTAAGAGGATAAAAACACAAAGCTCTGGAGAAAAATCTGTGATTGAGATCCACAGGGGCTCTTGGGCTGCACTTTCTGGACTGTCCAGATCTCCAGCTCTTGCCTGGGGAGCCGGGACAGGGAGCCCGTGCTCCAAGGTCCAAGCCAAGCCCCTCAGATGGCTGAATTCACCTGTGTTACAGAGGGGTCAGCACTTGATGAGGAATGAAAATATAATGCACATTTTCTAGATATGTTTCACAGGAAATTTTTTTCCAGAGATGAGCTGTTGCAAGTTGACCCCAGATAATGCTGGGCACTGAAAAGGGGGTAAATGAGTAGGTTGCAGTGTGGACTGAAAGAACCATCCATTTGCTGAAGCTGCTGGAGTGTCAGGTCCGCATGCCCTTTACTCTAGTGTATGTCTCTCAGGATGCCACTTCCCCTCTCGCTCGGGTCCCTCTGAAAGTGTGGAAGCTAAAAGGATTTGGGAGCCTGAGCCCCGTACCCCATATTCATCTTAGCTAATGGTTTTGCCTGTAGTAGTTGCTGCTGCAGGAATGCATGCCTACGTGGTGACACATCAGCTTCAATGGCCGTCATAACAATCCTTTGCCTTGTCACCAGTTATATGAATCTACCTTAAGATAAGGACTTTGTGTGATGTCATTAGGGCTGTATGACTTGTTAATAAAATTAAGTGGATCTATTAGTGAGGCAATGCATGTTCTATCATAAGAGCCAGTACACTGGGTTCAGGATGAGCTTCATTCTATCAAAGCAAGTGTGGTAATGACTTCAGGAAGATTGGCACGCACACTCCAGTTCAGTTTGGCAGTTACTCCGCCAACAGTTGAAACCTGTTTAAATAAAGAAAACTGGTTAAATGAAAAAGAGGACGGGACTAGAAAACAGAAGCCCTGCATTCTAGTTCTCAACCTCTAAATAACTTCGGAGGTGCGTGCCTCCAAAGCGAACTGCCCTGACAAGTTCCCACGCGCCCCTCCCTCAAAGACAGGAGCTCCTTGTGGGTGGTGGCTGCATCCTCTTCGTATTCCCGGTGCCTGGCGTGGGGCTGGGTACTCACAAGGCTCTCAGTAAATGGTTGCTGCCAATGACTAAAAAAGTAAATAAGTGCACATATCCACATTCACACATGTATATGTGTGGTTACGTGAGAGTGGAAGGAAGTCTAAGAGGATATACTCATGCTCCCAACACGGGGCTGAGGTAATGTGGTTGGTGCAGGGAAGGAAAGGAGGCAGAGAGAGGCGAGCACGGAGGAAAAGACAAGAGTGCACTAAAAATTCTACATGTATAATATAATCTTGCAAAAGTATGTGTGTGTATGCGTAAATAAATTAGGGGAAAAATGACGATGTTTGTAGGTTAAGTCAAAGCAAGCTGCAGAGTATTTCAGTTAAAAACTATAAACAAAAACATCCCATATATCTGTTATATATGCATAATTAGCTTTAAATGAGCAAAAGGGAGGGTGTATATTTGGGTGCTTTGAGACACCACCCAACTGAGGCACTCAATTCTGCAGCTGCTGGGAGCGTTGGCTGCTGACAGCTCACAGCTGAGTCCCTTTTCAGGAATCGCCATCAGCCCGAAAGAGCTTCTTTGCCCACCCTCTTCCTGGGGGCAGCCCAGAGCCAAAGACGGTGCATGTGGGGGTCCAAAGACCTGGATCCTTTTTCAATGCAGGACAACTCCAGCGTTTCCTCTGGCCAGTTCCACTTCCTGTACTTCCCCCAGGTGCCGTAGCTCTCAGGAGGAAGTCTCAGTAAGCCCTCTGCCTGCATATCCAGTCTCAAGCTGTTTCCTGGGAAATTATGACAGTGTGGAAAGATATGTACCAGTGTATTAAAATGTTACTTAAGAAACTAAGATTGGGGAAAACGATTAGCTTTTTCTGCATACATTGTCATTACAATAAGCATGTGTTACTCATAACTTTAGGAATATCACATGAAGAACTTTAAAATGTATGAAATTTAATAACTTTCCATGGCCCTCAAACTTGATATATTGAATTGGGAACCTTTCACACAGGTGTGGCCCTTTTTTATTGTACAAAATAATGATAATATAGCCACCAGTCTTCTCTTTGTATTTATAATACAATTGCTAAAGTCTGTTCAATAAACTTTCAATAAATATGTTACTTGAATAAGTGAATAACTGTGTCTATATCTAGTTGGAGAAATAGATAACAGTGAAACAGCTTGTCAAAGGTACTCAGTGTTTTTAATACACTCAAGTGAAGGGGATTTTGCTAACATTTTTCATGACTTTTGACTTAGTTGGTTCAAAAGAGATTGGACCAGCTTTCTGAGAGTGAGGTTAACACTTCACAGATGAGGATGAGGAAAAGAAAGGTCAGTGAGTGGATGGAGGCAAACAGGAGGCACAGCTTTGATTGAATGGAAGAAGAGATTTTCTAGTATCAGAGCTATCGGCCCCCCAAAGAGGCTGCAATTTGTGGGCAGCTACCATCTAAATTACACTGTCCAAAGAACCTGTGATTCTTCCATTTGGTGAGTAGCCAGATTAGAATTGGAAGAGAAAAATACCTGGCATTTATATCACCAGCAACACCTCCCAGCCCTGGGCCCTGGCAAACCCGCTGATGATCAGTTCTTCCCCAGTGACGCCACCTCAGAATCCTTCTCGTCCCCACTCTCCAGGCAGCCACAGTGGATACACTGGAGTATTCACTCAATATGGAACCTGTTTGCTCTTCCAGAACTAAATAATCTTTATACTTCTTCCAACTCTGAGGTTTCATGAGGTCCTCCAGGGAAGGTTAATTTATTCACAAATGTCTTATATGAGCAAGCCAAATGCCTGCTTCTTCCTCTCTCAGACAGACATCAACCGATTTTTGCAAATCCATCCTCTTGAGGCACCTATAAATGATATTCCTGAGGCTTAGCATCCCATTTGGAGAAGGCTTAGCAGGGTTTGTGAGAAGCAAGCCCTTGAAGGCATAATTATCGGTGCCACCAACTGTGTTGACACATTCTTGGAAATTGCGTAGCGGAGGCCTGGTCCGAGATCTGCATAGGACCCCTGATTAGAGAGACTGACAAATTTGCTTACTTAGAAGGCTCTCGTTTACAATCGATGCCACTGCTTTTATTGGAGGTTGTTCTAACCTGAGAGATGACTCTCTGTTTTGCATGCATGTATTCCTTCTTTGTTGAACTTGTATGCGCCGGCATTGTGCTTGAGACAGGAACTGAAGCAGTGAGCAAGACAGAGTCTGACCCTGAAGAGTTGGGAGTCCACAGTGAGAATGACACAAGTAAAGAGGTTTATAGTCCAAGGAGACTTTCATGACATAGGAATGCTTAGAGTGCCAAGGACATTAAGGACATAAGAGGGTCTCAAGCTGGGGAGGAGAGGTTTGTATGGGAGGCTTGTTGGAGGGAGTGTCAAGCATTTGTCATAATCAGATCAGCTAAATTACAGCCACATTCAAAGACCCAAATTATATTTCTGGATTTATAATCATTCTGTAAATTTGTTTACCTCAAATATTTACCATTTTATTGAAAACTATGATAATAAATGAAATTAATGAAATAAATAAAAGTCCCTGGAGAGGAAAAGCAACTAAGCAACAATTTGCTTTAGAAATTCACACGGTGCACCTACACATTTATTTTAAAGGAGATGCAGCACTTAGAATAAAAAGAGTAATCAAGCTTTCTTCTTTTGAAGCCATTAATGTATTTATTCCCTCCTTTATTTCTGTTTCAGGTGGCTGTATCATTTTAACTGCATAGAGGGAGGTCTCTTTTGGAGTTAGGATTGAAAGAACGTGCAGCGAAGAGAAAACATCGAAGACACCATCACGAAAGGTACCATTCGCTGTGAACATTTGACATTCATCATTCCCATGGCCAGTTTGAGGCTTTCACTAGTAACTGCATATTCCCAGGGATCTGAGACCCTTTGTCACTGAAACAACACCCTGGGGGTAGTCTCCTTGAAATGAGGTGGTCAACAGCATTAGCTCCTCTGGGCTTCATGCAGTCTCTGAAAAAGCTGAAGAAACTAGGTACCAAGGCTTTGGCTTCTCATAAAATATTTCTGAGTGCATTTCGTGATGCAGTTGGTAATAAAAGCGTGTTACTGTGCTCGGTCCCTCCAAGAAGCTAGACTGGACTCCCAGCCTGCCCGAGCCTGCACTGGGCCTGCATGAATCAGTGCTAAATTATTCACCAGTCTCACTCTAAAATTTCTGGAGTTCCAAAACCCCTAATATAGTATTATGAAAAAATATCCATCTCTTTATCTCTATCCATAACTGTATGGCTGGAGGAAAAACCTGTCGTTTTATTTCCTTTAATTTAAAAGCTATCCTAATTCCTTTTTCATACCACATATATATGTCTAAAGAATTTTCAGGTTGAAATAATAACCTCTAAAAAATGGTCCACAGGAGAAGGCTGTTAGGATTCACAGAGTTGGCAGGCACAGTGAATATTTCGCTCCTTTAATAACTTTCCATGGCACTCAAACTTGATATACTGAATTCGGAACTTTTCAGACAGGTGTGGCCCTTTTTTCCTGTACAAAACAATGGTAATGTAGCCACCAGTGTTCTCTCTCTATTAGTTATACAATTGCTAAAGTTTGTTCAGAAAAAAAGAAAGCTCATTTTCTTCCTCAGACTCACCACGGTCTCGGTGTCCGTCATGCCACTTTACAGACTTAAGGCAAGTCTTTTCTGAAGCCCCGTGTTTGAATCAGCCCAGAACGCTCTCAGTGGCAGCCTCCTCCCTTGAGGGCACTTGACTGCAAAGTATCCCATGCCTTTTAACACACCTTTGAACATTCAAAGTCACAAGAGACATCATCACATCATGCTGGCTATCAGCCATTCACGCTTAAGGGAGACTTGGTTCATTTGTTGCTGCTAGGATACCTGCTGTTTCAGTTCAAGTTCTCTGTGACCAAGCAGAGCTACAAGGTGGAACAGGGGGGACCAGTGACTCAGGGTGCCTGTCCCAAAAGCGTCACTGGCAATGTATTACAATGAAGACATTTGTACTGATCTGCACTCTGCTCAGAGAAAGCACTTGAATGGACAAAAGAATATTTGACAAACCACTTGCAATGGGAGATTAAACCCTTCACCCAAAAAGCTTGCTCAGATAAGAATACTCGGTCTTGAAGCTGACTTCTGGGGAAGGGTTCAGTGAGAATGTGAGAGCTGGGGTGCTGTCACCCTCTTCTAAATAGATGTTAGGTAAATACTTGAAGAATATTGGTTTAAACATGAGACCAATTATTAGCATGAGAAGGGCACCCACACATTTTTCATCCCGTTCTGCTATGTGAGGCTTTTGATGGAGGGGTTAGAAGGATGCAGAGGAGAGCCCAGGACACTGCCAACCAGGATGAGATTCTGGAGTGGCGTGCAGGAGGCAGGCAGGGGGAGAGAAAAGACTGCTGAGGGTATTTGTCTTCATCACACCTGGAGCCAGCCTTGCTCCAGCAACTAGGACCCACCCCAGTCCTACCTTTGGAAGCCAATCCACAGGTATGGCTGAACTGGACAATACTTGTGAACAACAAGATGAGCCTGATATTTAAAGTAGGGCCTGGGGATGATCCCAAATCACACCAGAGCCATATACGCACCAAGACAAGCTCCACTGTAGTCTTGGGCTGACAGAAGTTCCTGGGACCAAGGAGAGTCCAATCAGAGGTGGATGTGAGGTTAGCTGAAGGCAGCTAATGACTGTCAGTGGGTCCAGGCGGGGATGGCGAGTCCTGCCGGCTCTCCTCAGGAAGGAAATTCTCAGGAGCCTACAGGATGCAATATTCAGAGGCAGTTGTTATAAGCACCAGTTGCCCTGCTGATTAAATCTCAAAGCCTCCTCCTGGCACAGAAGGCAGTCCATCTTCCCCTGCCAAGCCTGTCGCATGCATCTGAACCACCTCACAGGAGAACATAGCTTGTCCAGATCAGTCCCCTCCCCCACACACTTACTAATCACTTTTCACTAGCATGGCTTGGTGTTGGAATTACAGGAGTTACCAAATAGGTAGGCAGCCAGGTCTACTCATGGCTCCTCGGCAATTCAAACCCAGATCGCAGGCTTGTCTGAACTGCCTTGCTCACCTGCTTCTGTCTCACCTTCATTTCCCATGCATTCAAAGCAGCTTATTTTAAAAGCTGATTAGACGAACCCTTAATAACATTAGAATTTAAATGGTCCCAGATAGGTTTTCAGCTTCTTGCTAAATTGAGATAAATGTGATATTTGGGGAGTTGAGCTCCCAGCTTCAAGCCTGCTCTGTACTGCAGACAGGTTTTAAAGTACTGTACTACCTTCTCCCGTTTTGCAGCCTAAAACCGGGTTTGTGTGTGTCCACAAGGTGCCCTTTATCTCTAAAGTCTATGTAGACACAGTCTATGTGTGTGAATATGTCTCCATGATCATGCACTTTCAAAAAAACGTAAGTTGAGAGAAGGGGCCTAGGTCAGAGTTCTGTCTTTCAATTGTGATCATCTATGGAAAAACTTCACTCTGTACCCCCATGCCTTATGATAACTTTCAGTTACAGACAATAACTTTTATTGGACAACTATTATTTAGCCATTTACTTTGATATTAATATTGTTAACACCCGACTTTCACTGAGAATAATGTTAAATAGTCAGAAATATGAGTGTTTCACTTTATATAATGTTCAGCACCCTCTGTAACTCTTATGGGCAGGTTCACTCCCAAAAAAGAAAAACACAGTTATCAAGCCAAATAGGTATAGCCTTTCAATTTAATACCCATCTGTCAGTTTTTTATAAAACTAAAAGCAAAGTGAGAAAGGGGAATTTTAAAAAACAAGGACAAGTGAACATAAACAGACCGTGCAGGGTGAGGTAAATGTATTCTTAAAAATGAACTGAGTTATCTGCTTGCTGTATTGACCCAATCAAACAGACACCTGGCTATCCCCAGAATTAAGTCTTGAAACTCCTAAAAAACACTATTTGCCCTTCTGGGTATGGGCGGTCATGAAAGAGATGTCCCTGAATTTAAGATTCTTTGTGAAATTCTCAACAAATGTAGCTGCTCCTACAGACTTTTAAGAGAAGCTAAACCTTGAGCTTAACCCTTGAGCATTAGCACTCAGGTGGGGAAAAACTGCCTACAGTGTTTCTGTGGAGGGTTGCTAAGGACTCCAAGGAGCCAGGTAGGTGAAGGAGGGGACCTGGGCCTGGGCATAGCTGTGGGCAAACCCACTTTCCTGCTCTGGCCGTACCAGACCAAAACTCACCCCAGACTTCAGGGACTCTTGAGGGGTTTCAGGAGGAAATGACTTGTAATCCATTTAAGCTATGACTTTGATCAGAAACTACAGTTAGAGTGGAAGAGTCTGCTTTGCTGCCTGATGAAACCAGATTGAGGAGGCGCAGCAAAGTACAACTCCAGAATTGCAGTGTTTGACTCTATACCAAACCTCTGACCAGTCAAAGCTCAAATGGCTGTTCCCTCTGTGTATTAGCCTGTTCTCATGCTTCCATAAAGAACTGCCTGGAACTGGGTAATGTATAAAGGAAAGAGGTTTAATTGACTCACAGCTCAACATGACTTGGGGGGGCCTCAGGAAACTTAACAATCATAGCAGAAGGGGAAGCAAACACATGATTCTTCGCATGATGGCAGGAAGGAGAAGTGCCAAACAAAGAGGGAAAAGCCCCTTATAAACCCGTCAGATCTTGAGAGAACTCACTCGCCATCATGAGAATAGCAGCCTGGAGGTAACTGCCCACATGATTCAAGTACCTCCAAACAGGTCCCTGCCATGACATGTGGGAATTGTGGGAACTGTAATTCAAGATGAGATTTGGGTGGGGATACAGCCAAACCATATCACTATGGAAGGGGAAAGAGGAATATCAGAGGACGTCTTGGCAGAGCCTCCATCCCTGGCCCACCCGCCCCTCAGGAAATTAAGCATTCTGTGCCATTGTGATAAGACTTTCATTAAGACCCTATTATCTAACAGGCCACTGCTTGTCCAAGTACCTTCCTAGTATTTGTGTTTTTTCTCAACATCTTATGGTTTACATGTGCAAAATGTAATGGTATTGGATCCATCAACTGGCATTTTGCATAAGCTCACCTCCTCCTTCACTAAGCCTGGAGCTATACAGAAAGAGCTTACTCCATTTCACTCTCCTTCTCAGAACGCCTCTGCACAGTCATCCTGCCCAACTTGCTTTCGTCCTGTCTCTGGAGAGAAAGGGTTTCTCCTGGACACAACTAACTCTTCTGCCGAGTCCTTGGTCTCTTCTTACCCCTCTCCTCAGTAGCCTGATCCATCCATTGCTCCTTATCTCACTTGCATTTTCTCTCACTCACTCTAAGTTCTTTTTCTTCTGCTTGTAAACAAGACTTGGCCTCCATTAAAACAAACAAACAAAAACAGCTTTCCCTTGATTTCCTGACTCTCTTTCTCTTGTCCTGGATTCCAGGGAAGAACATTCTACATTCACTTCTCACCATTTTCCTATAGAAAACAGTGCTTCCTACCTAACCATGCAACAAAATCAACATAATTCAGCAGACATGCATTTGGCACATCCTAGGTGCCACACCCAGTCTGGACTCTGAACACAAGGAGGACTCACTCTTACAAGGAAGGCAAGACATGCCTCCCCCATGCCTGATTACAAAGCAGTATGATAGTGAGATGGTGAGGCTATGCACTATAGAGAGACAGGGTGAGAATCATCAGCCCTGTCTTGGGGGCAGGGAGCAGCAAGGAAAGTGTCAAAGGAGTTCTCCAGCAAATGGGGGACCCATGAAGGGAAATGAGAAAAAGAGAGAAGAGGGAGGCC